TGCCTTATATGACTCGATTCACAATTCTAGCGAATTTACAAAGGTATTTATGGCATGTGACACATCATTAGCAAGAGGATAGAATAGAGATCTTTCGAGAGAGTTGGAAGATCCTGGTCGCTGTTGGTTTTTTTTTTGTAGTCATGTAAAGTCACAGCTTTAATTTGAGTTTCACATATTTCGAAACTTTGCGAGTAAATAAAAGAAAAACTAGATGACTTATGTCACTATAGTTTTGTATTTAAAAGTACTCTAACACAATACATATCAGAATAGAATTAAAATCCAGAGTCTACGCCTTATACTTTTTTTCAAAATTTGAATTTGAATATGGAATTTGGGTCTTTTTTTGATAAACAGATGGTAAGACGATTAAAAATAATCCACAGGGCATGAAAGGTGTGAACTAGTCTTAAAGGATAGCAGATGACCCCTTCATTCGACCATTTCAATTTGGCACACGATGCACCAAACATGCACCCTGAATATCTCTAGAGAGGTAACTAAATCGTATTATCTGAAAAAAATTATACTTCGTATTCGAAATAAAGAAATGTGATGCACTTCCTGTCGAACCGGCAGTGTCATATTTGGTCTGATACTAGAGAAATTATTATTCAATCATCAAATCTGAAACATCCATACAAAATAGCAACAAATAGCAACGAAGTTGTGTTGAAGTAAATTGGTTCCGGGTCATCGATTCTATGGAATTCAATTTTATCTGAATTCGTCGATCCATAAGAACTCACATTGTATCCAAGTTAATCACCCCTGTATGAATATGTGAATATTATGTGAATCAAAATTACATTTTTACGAATTAACTAATGAAGTATAGTTCGAACTGAATTCCTTTTTCGAGAATATATCTCTAGACGTGAGAGATCGATGAAATACTAAGCGTGACAATAGTGTTGAACTAAACGATAAAGCTTTGGTCCTAATAGTTATTTATGTATCAAGGTCGTAAAAGGTGCTTTTATGTAGTATGGACCGTATAGCGTGTCTCGTGTCAGCACAAGAGCTCGAGCGATAGCAAGGAATATCACGTCCAGATCCATAGAAGCAAGTGACGCCCGAGATATACATATACAATATCATTTCATGCATGACCGCGGTATATTATTATGTGATTTTTCATTGTGAATACTTATCTTTATTACCTCTGGAGCACGATAGAGAAACATCATGGTTTCCGTTAGGCTGTGATGGAATATGATACGATATTAACATAAAAGAAACATTCCTGAAACTCTCCATGTTATGTTTAAATATCTCAGAAATACACTCAGTTCCAAAAAAAGTAATGCACTTGATATTTGACCTATCTTCTTTAAAAATAAAACAAAAAATAGTAGGCCGATTTTTTTTTATTTGTTGGTAGGTAATGCATGTTTCTCAAAAAAAAAATAAAGAGGTGAAAATTTTTTCAAAGCCTCCTTGATGGTGGTGGAATAACTCGAACCATGATTTATTCTTAATTTTTGACTCACCCTGTGTGTTAATTGAGTAATGGTATTCAAAGTGCTTGCACATGCTGGCTTGCACCCTATACGAAAGAGGCTTCTTTTGCGAGCATTTTGTTTTTTATTCATTGATTTATCTCTAAAATTTTCCGAATTACAGCTTTTTTGCTGATACCTTACGCTTATGCCACAAATTAAATTTATTAAGATCTTGGCCAAATTCGTGATGTTGCAGTAAGTAAGCAGACGGTATGTAGACGTCTAAAAGAAGTTAATTTAAAAGCTATAGGAGACCAGCAAAAGGTCCCAAATTATTGCCCGAACATCGTGCTGCTAGAAGAAATTTTGTTGAAAATTATGGACAGTGGAATATTCCTGAATGGTCGAATGTCTTGTTTACGGATGAGTCAAGGTTTTGCCTTAACTTGGTGGATGGAAGGAAAAGAGTGTGGAGAAGAACTGGTGAACGATTTAATCAAAATTCAATAACAGAATGGGAAAGTTTTAATGGTGGGTCCGTTATGGTGGGAGGGATTTCAATGAATGGAAAGACACCCCTTCATGTTTTTCCGGTGAGGCAGTCGATGAATGCCAAAATTTACATTGACATTTTAGAGCAGTATGTCTTACCTTATGCAGATCGAGTTAGTGGGCAATGATTTTATATTGATGCAGGATAATGCCCGACCGCACACCGCAGCAATAGTGCGAAGCTTCTTAGAAGCTACTGGTATTATTACCACATTACAATGGCCTGCGAGAAGACCCGATATGAATCCTATAGAACATTTGTGGGATGAATTAGGGAGAAGGGTACGTTCTCGCGAGAGAGTTGCTAGAGGAGGCAATACACGGTATTAAGCAGTCATCCCAATTCATAATTTTGTGTTTAATAAAAATGTTTTTCAAAATTATTGGTATCAGTTTATTTCATTAGAAAATTGTTTCTCGATAAATTCAGAAAGTTGGTAATCTGCAAGGATTCAGCAAAAAAAGCTGTAATTCGGAAAATTTTAGAGATAAATCAATGAATAAAAAAACAAAATGCTCGCAAAAGAAGCCTCTTTCGTATAGGGTGTGAGAACTTTCTATGCCATTACTCAATCAACACACAGGGTGAGTCAAAAGTTAAGAATAAATCATGGTTCGAGTTATTCCACCACCATATCAAGGAAGCTTTGAAAAAATGTTCACCTCTTTAATGCATTACCTAACAATGAATTAAAAAAATAAAAAACGGCCTACTATTTTTTTTTTTTTAAGAAGATAGGTCAACTATCAAGTGCGTCACTTTTATTGGAACTGAGTGTATATCAAAACATACGTTTCAAAATCATTACAAAAATTCTCTGCTTGAAATGTCTCACGTGAATCTCTAGAGGTGTCATCTGTAACATCGCCGTGTTTACATATGTGAAACAACTTCGAAATAATAACAATTCTTAACAACTTGTTAAAATTTTTATTGGAATTCAGTTGGGTGTATAATACCTACACTACCCTCCAAATATGAAAGTGATACGTCAAATAGTTTTGAAGAACTGGGCAAAAACCATTTCCAAATTTTTGAATAAAACACCCTGTAACTCAGACAGGAGACATATATTATCTAGGTGATTTGGATTAAATCTTCATATTTTGAGTTCAGGATTCTATGGTTGAAATATTTCCAATTAGTAATGAAACACCCTGTATATTTTAATACCAATTGACCACATAACACACGATATGTCAATTAGGGTTCACTTCCATTATGAGTAAGAGTGATCTCAATCAACTGCTGTAATAATGTAGTCATGGTTTGAACTAAAATGGTTTCATTTGAAATGTTTGAGCATCATCAAAAGTAAGATGTCACAGAAATGTTTCAAAAAAGTAACTTTGGAAATGTTGCAAATAGTGAAATGAGGAGATGTATCAAAGACACTATTTGTGAAACTTTTCATGAAATGCAATAGTGAAATATCTCAAGATGTTTTTGTATAATGTTTATTACATGTTTCATAAAGATTTTGGTTGAAACATTCCAATGAAAACATATTAGACACCCTAGGTCATTTATGATCTCTATAGAATGCCTCATACATTTTTCGGAGTATATAGGTGAAACACAATAGTATATTGTTCAACAAATGGCAAAAGTTCAACTTTTCTCACGAGTTTGAAAGTTTGTGGCACGAGCCTGAAGGGCGAGTGATGCAAGCACACGAGCCGAAGAAATCAAAAATCAGAAATCAGCCGAAGAAAAATAGTACCTATTTTGGTTAACGAGCACGGAATGATTTTCATTTCCCACGAGAATGAAGTTGGCAGCATGAGCCGTAGCCGTAGGTATTCCTATAGGAATATACCTATCACTACTTAGATATTTGCATTCGAAATTTCCATATCCTCAATGAGTGTGACAAAGAAAGAAGTTTCGATTTTCGGCCATCAGCACACCCATTGAGCATATAAGAAGTTTCAAGAAAAATCGAACACTTACCTCCTCTTCCTATCCTTAGGTGCGCACGATGGTCTTCGAACATCATAGGAATTTCCTTTCGTTCGCTCTAAGAGAGATGAAAAAGACATCTTCGTGATCGTTTAAAATGACCCGGTATCGATGAATTCGTTTTGATGATTCCTTACCGATTATGGAATAAAATACGACAGGGTGTCCCATTAGAAATCAAAAGATGGGGTAAGTTCCGGTAGCCGGTTAACCGGAAGTACGACAAAACAAGTAGATAAGTCAAAAAATATAGATTGTCCTATAACTCTCAATCACCTTATTTCGTTTCACTGCAATTAACAATGAAAAATTCATAGGAGTGAGAGTGATATCAAAATATATAGGGTGTTCTATTTGAAATAAGGAAGTTGATAATAATTCCGGAAAAATTGATTACATCGCAAACATTGGCGATATAATTTCTCGAACCGCCACATTTCCAATTCAACATGTATAGAAATTCAGAAAGATCTAACGACTGGTTACTGAGATATATTGATGGTTTCATGCATTTGTATAAATTTGTATATGAGGACAGTGCGAGAGAGTAAGAGGTAAGGAAATAGTGAGAAGGACAGAGAGTGGTGCGAAGTGGGAAAGTTCATAGCGGCTGCACGCACGCACACTCAACTGTTGATTTTTGCTACTTCGGCTTGTGCAGAAATCAATCACGCTCGAGAATGTCCAGGTGACCTTTTTTTTGTAACTTTGTGACTCTCCCATCTTCTTATGTCAGACTCAAATCGTCAGATTATTGTAAGCATACTTTTATGCATGTAATTAACTTACCTTGCTCTAACCTGACCCGCTCGAGTTTTGCCAACGATCGATTTTATTTTACTAATCTGATCTGATCGACTGCCCTACACGTCTGATACCATATAAAAGAGCCCTGGTATGGTGGGAGTATTTCACAAGGTGCAATATGTTACCCCTTTATGATATTCTTCCGCGCTCGAGTAAATCCCAAAATCCCCGCTTGGGTGGGCTCCCCTACTATAAGTGTCTGCAGTTCTGCAATAGTGGGTGGCTGGGTGCTATCACCGATGTTCGGTGGTGCTATGCACAGCGTATTTGTTTTACTGTTTTAAGGTACGTTCTGATATAATATGATTCTGATGGAATACGGTCTGTTGTATTACGAGTCTGTCGATGTACGGTTTTAGCATATTACGATTCTTTCAATTTACAGTTCTGATATTTTGTGATTCTGCAAATGTGCTGTTCTGATTTTTTGCTATTCTGTCGATGTACGGATCTGACATTTTACTATTCTGTCGATGAACGGTTTGTTGTATTACGATTCTGACAAAGTACGGTCTGCCAATGTGCGGTCTGTCATTTTGCAATTCTGACGAATTACGGTCTGTGTTGTTATAGTTCTGATGGAATATCATTCTGCTGTAATGTTGGTTTGTTAGTTTTCGATTCTGTATATTTGCGGATCTGCGATATTGCTTTTATAGAAAAATACACATCTGCGCATTTGCAATCTGTTATTGTCTACTATGCTCATGTACAGTATACAAAATACGGTTTGAGGGATTACGGTTCTGTGCATCTGAAGTAAAGATGAATACGATTCCTATAAAACATTGTTTTGTTAAGTTACTGGTTTGAAAATATATATTCTGATGGATTACGGATCTGCGATTTTACATTCTGTTGATTTGGGTGTTCCCTTTTAAGGTATGTTCATGCTGGTACATTTCCGCAAAATTTATGCGAATCGCAAAATATGAAATTCCCGACAGAATTCGACGTTCATATACTCAGGCGACAAAATATGCAGGAGATAATCGGTTCTGTATTGTCATATTAATTTATTTATTTCTGGTCTCACCATTGACAGACAAGTTCAGGCACGTTACACGAAAGTAATTGAAATATTTATTATAGGGTCATTCAGTCGCATTTATCGAACGAGGCTGTACTAATCTCCATTTTTTTTTCGGCATTTGAAAATGCTTCGAACAGTACAGCTCCGATCATATTAGTTCTATCCTGTTCTATAGAGACAATACAGATGATACTTCAAAATTAATTATTCGTCCAGAGAATCCATCCTGCGAAGAAAATGTAATCAAATGAAGAAATGATGGAATTTTTGATTATAATTTTGTACTTACATGTAGTCCAGTGTCTAGTGTCTACCCAGACCCAATGAGAGTTCTACTGAAATCACAATGACTGCTATTTCGCGGATCCTTTTGGTCATTTTATGATCCACATTATGATGCCAAATGAAACTCACAGTACGTATCAAGCGACTCCTCATTCAACATCAAAATTAATTGATTTCGTTTGTTACATAAATATAAAATAATGTGAGGTTCCAGTGAGTCTCTTGGTTGTTAGGAAGCCTCACAACTTCACCTACATTCTAAGTCTCAAATCCTATGAAATGTGACGAACATTGCGAATGTTTTGTAAACTAAAGAGTCCCCTGGCAATGCCAATGATGTATTCTTGTAATTTGCATTGTTACCTAGCGAGACATGAATGTGACATCCCAGGGATGTTTGTGTTTACTGATGGGTAGTCTCGACTTTTTCGGCGTCTGCTGTCCGCTCTCTAATTCCCCAATTTTGACTCTATCAAAATAACAACACATTTCATGTGGTTATGATTCCATCCGAATTCGTAAAAAAGTTCAACTTCATTGCGATCGCAGTCGCCATTTTATTCGAATAAATTTTGCGGAATTCGTACAAGCATGAACATACCTTCATACTGTTGACACCCGGAAGTATCAAATATATCCACATCATAATTCTTTTGTTTACGATGCAAGAGATACGCCACTGGTTCTCACCCCAAATCCACATCAACCACCCTTATCTCGTCACCGGCGCACCCCCTCAAATGCGCGTGACTCGAATCGCAGAATTCACATGTTGAAACTATACAGTTTTTATTATCTGTGATTATTATAAATATTTTATTCCGCAACAGTTGTGGTTCACGTTGATTAGCACAGTGACAGTTTTGAGGTTTCCTATTATCGAACTTATCCATAAGGAGTCCGCCCTCCGATACAATATGGATGTCGTGGTAGAAGTTGATAGTGATAATGTCTCTTACACAGAAAACTATATTGAAACGAAGTACAAATATGAGTATACAACAGCAGAACGAAATGGAAATGTTATCAAAGTAAGTGATATTTTTTATTACTTTATACGACCAAATATAGTAAGGTATACAATGAATGTTAGAATACTGGCACATACATAAGCGACGTAACTTCATTCACGAGCACCTAAAAACGAAGTTACATGCTGTACTTCTTCTACGACTCCAAACTGAATGAATAATTTCGATTCTCCGAAGCGATCTCATCCATGGGCGTAGCTTGGATTTAATTCAGGGGGAACAGTACGGCATTTTTTTGAAATGTTGTGCAACAAATTCTGTTCATATATCAAACGTATATTCAAAATATAATGGAATAAATCTGCGTAGAGAGAAAAAAAGATGACACACACTATTGGCATACTACGAAATTTTATTTATTTTGAAATGAGCCAGCGAGCGACAGAATCGATAGAATCTATCTAATATTCCTTCCAAAAGTCCACTGTATCGACTTATTTCGGTTATAGTCTCAATCAGATTTTTACTCTTCACAATGGTGAACAATAACTACATCAAAAGAACCCGCTTTCCGTTGCTGGATAGAAAAAATCAGTTTCTCTCACCAATTTTGCAATTTTGCTATTTCAATCTCTTTCATCGCTTCCTTTGCAATTTTTTTTTTCGTTCATGAATTATCTCATAATTTGCTCTCACTGGAAAATTTGTCCATATTATAGTAATCGGAAAAAAATTGTGATTTTTTGAGGAAATCGTCAATACTGTCCATATTTAACCATATTAAACGGGAGTCAGAATTAGAAGTGAGAAAGTAGGTATGTTATCGTCTGGAAATCACTGCTCAAATGAAGTACCTGATGAATTCAAGTAAGGAATTATAAGTGACCTTTTCCAGAATTTGCAACAAGTTTGTGCTGGAGGATGTGAACGGTGTACTTGTCGTTCTGAGGCTTATGGAGTTATGAAAATATGTTTCAAGATTGTCAGTGATTTTTGTAGCTTCGATTATTGTCATTGGGATTATGATGTCTGCCGTTCAACGGGGATTTTTCACATGATCAAGTATTTTTCTGGCTATCTGGATGAATTGACTGGCAATGCACATGCACACAATTTGAAATGAATAAGCATATAATTATTAGTCTAATGAATGTCGATCAAGAATCAATTGGGTATATAAATATCATTATTCCAGATTTTTTTGGGATTTTCTCTCCTTGTCTCTATAACATAAAAATATGAATACTATTTCAATATACGTGTAGTTAGAACAAATCAGATGATTTGCCTCAAAATGTCACTGCGTCACTCAAAGAGCCTAAAAGAAAAATTCACTAGCTTGTCAGTGACAATTCGTATTGAAAAAGGTTTGGAGAAGAGAAATAAAGGTATTTGTCCTGACACTTTTCAGTTCTTAGTGGCAATTGGTGACGTTGGCAATCAAATGAAAATGGTAAATTCAAGATTAATTGATGAAAACATTTTGTAACTCATTTGATTACCAACGTCACCAATTGTCACTGAGAACTGAAAAGTTTCAGGATGAATACGAAATTGCAATACAAAAAATCCATTTTTTATGTTGAAAACGGGAGCAGTTTCGTTCCCGAAACGTCCAAAGATAAGTAAAAATTGGATATTTTTCCTATATACCTTTATTTTCCTTCTCCAAACTTTTTTCAATACAAATTGTCACTGACAAGCTGGTTAATTTTTCATTTAGGCTCTCTGATAGGAAAATTCTTTAAACGCAGTGACATTTTGGGGCAAATCATCTGATTTGTCCTAACTACACGTATTAATTGAAATAATATTCATATTTTTATTATATATTATACAGAAAAGCCTAAAAAAAATCTTATATAATGAATGTACCACCTCCTCGATTAACCTACAGACAGTATTTATATAAATCACCTATCATGCAGAAAACTTTCATTGATATTTTTGCTGACTGGACCAGGAGGGGGAAGTGCCCACCCCTGCCCCTCCCTGGCTACGCCCATGGATCACTGGCAGCAAATATATAACAATTAATTATTGCTGTTGCTGGTGCTTGCATTATTCCAGAAGCAGTTTCTGATCAAAGAAGATCGGAAATGACGATAGAGGTATAATTCTTGAAAAGCTCCGTTCTCAACCGAGAAAGAATTAATATTTTCATCACATGGAGAATGCGATTCTCAATGTATTTCTTTATATATTATATGTAATCATTTTTTGTGTTCATAAATATATCTGAGAATGTTCCTTTTCAAAACAAATTATATTTGTTTTCAGAAAGGATCATTCGACCTTATATAACCGAATATAATTACGTTCCTACTTATATCGATGACAAAGTAAAAATAAATTTTCAAAAAATGTTTAAAACTGATTTTAAAAAATAATATAACATACAGTATACCATGTTCGAACGCGTTAACCGATTTGATGAAATATATTTAGTATAAAATTCACAGGATGATCATATGTTTCAATGACTGATACTTCAGGAATCGATAGAACTCGAACTTCATAAAACTATTTATTATTATGTTTTCGAGATATTCGGCACTGAATTTCAATATGAACATCTTCTCAAATTTCGTGGTATATGGTGTTGATATAGGGTGATTAAGATTTAAATGAAAACAGGGTACGATACCTGGAAAAAGAGGATACTTCAGTGGTTCCAAATCATGCACCCCCCATTGATGTTCCTACCATCTTTTATATCTGAGGTACAAGACGTAATCTTGATTCTGGGTAAATATTCATCTGGTTATGACTTTAGAACCACTTTGAATGAATAATCTATATTTATACTTGATGGGTATATTCCACTTATATAACCCATCAAACCTGAATAGAAATCGAAACCAACATATATATTATACATGTATAGTAAAACCAAAGTCGGCTAAATGAGAAAGGAATCTAGTCAGCTCTGATTGAGTAAAACCATTGGAACAACCAAATCCTTCAATTACCGAAAATTCACGTCAGCATTGGGGTCACCAATTTTATAGAAAAACTGTCAAATGTCGGTCAACCAAATCCTTTTGCTTATCCATAATTTACATCAGAATTTGCAACAACACTATCATCCTTAAAATGTCGCAAGAAGATTGATAAAGATTGATGCACTACACATTTTACTGATATAGTCGAATTTGAGGTAATACAATTTTTCAAATGAGTTCTCGTTTCGAATCACTAATTCGTTTTGTTATATTCGCGATTTCCCATCATTGACACTAAAATCAATTGAGAATGGACTTTATTGATAGCAAAATGGTTGTTGTAGATTTTCAATGTTTCAGGTTACACCGAAATCGGAAGAGCTGGTGATAAGAACATCTCGTAGGGTCCCAAAAGTGGGTGTTATGCTAGTAGGATGGGGTGGGAATAATGGAACGACATTCACAGCTGCTGTGATCGCAAACCGTTTGGGATTAAGTTGGCCTACAAAAAAGGGAATTCAAGAATCCAATTGGTATGGTGAGTGAAGGAAATAGTTCTCTGAGCTCAAGTTGAAGATATCAATATTTTATTTTTGCTATGAATAATGGGCTAGTGGACTGATAATGAATTATTGGCATTCAATAACTTCACTCTGTGTCGTTTATAAGGACCTAAATTAATTTTTGCAACACTTCTCGCGCTTTTTTATGTAAATAATGAGTGTATGCGTTGTTCAAAATTGTTGAATTTCAACGATCATTTTAAACGTGCCGAGTTTTTATGCTTTTTCGTTAGTGGTCGGATAATCTTACATTCCCACCCATGAAACAAGGCTGTCAAGTTACCAATTATAATCAAGTTATCAAAAAAATGTTATAATAAATAATAAAATGGTGGATAAAATATAATAGGAGGATGCCATGATATTATAGTTCAGTTGTGACTTCTTTGAGCAACCAGCATTGCCAAATATTTTTCATACCCCATAACAGAATATCTTGTAAATTTTGGAGACTCGGCAACATGTGGTGAATGCTGAGAACTGACAAGGCAACGCCCACAATTCGTGCGGCGTGTTGTCACGTTTACCGGTTCAAACGTTCTCTAGTGTGAATTAATATATAATTATTATTATTTGCAAAAATGTATTATAAATAGATTCATTTGGCTATTTTACACAAAGGTTTTACAGTACGTCGAATTTTTGCACAGAAGAGCAATATGGTATAAAAACAATCATTAATATTAACGTAAAATACTAGTAAATTATTGAATTTAAAACAATAGTTTTCACCAATAAACGAGAAGGTATACAAACAATCATTTTTCCAAAAACAACGCAGACTGAACATTTAGGGAGATTGAGAACAATCATCGGGAATTTAGAAATTCAGACACACTATAAAAACAGTTAAGTTTGGAGATCTCTATTATTCAAGGAGCGCAACTCTGAACTTAACTTATTGTAAAGCTTCAACTTAATGGAATTTGATTCCGATTTCGTTTATCTGTAACGGGGTAAGACTATTTGGATAGCTGATCTCGTTTCATATTCATGAATATCTGAGGAAATAGTACATCTTTCGAGGTTGACAACGAAAGGATGTGCTGACTGGGCTTGTCTAGTTCGTCTGACTGGTATTGCTAGTGAAGGGATGATAGCAGAGATTTCCGAAGAACATTTCCCGTGGAAGTATCGATAGAAAAGTGAAATATCGCCGACCTTTCTACGGTGTTCCAATGATGTCAAAGAGTGAGTGAGTGTGGCGTCACCCACCAGGCGGATGGCTCTTCTCTGGATGGAATCTAAGAGCATCAGCGTATGTTTTGGTGCTGAACCCCATATGTGGGAATAGTATTCTAGAACAGGCCTTATCTGCGCTTTGTAGATCATGAGGAGCTGTTGAGGTGTAAAGTAGCTTTTCGCACGGAACAAGAATCCGAGTTTTTGTGAAGCAGCTTTTGCGATGGATCTGACATGATTATCCCATGAAAGAGTCCCAGACAGCACCAGATATTCCATGAATCTCCCTATCATATTCCTTTTGGAATATTGGAATATTCTAGAAATAATCTGGAATATTCCGGAATATCTGTGGAATATTCTCTAAATATGCGAATGGGAATTCCTCAGATATTCATAGAATATATCCAAAAGAATATTCCATGTTGAATATTCCTGGAATATTCCAATAAACATATTCTAAAATAAAAAAAGTGACCTTAGTAGGGATCGAACTCGTGACCTCAAGACTATCAGACCAACGCCTTGACCACTAGGCCAGTAATCGAATTGAATGATGTTGTACATATCAATTTTTTGTGAGAACGTTGTTCGAAATCGGATCATAAACACTTTTTGTTTCAAAATCCCCTTACATCTAATTTTGATGTTCGATACTCACAACTCTGAAATAATGATGGGTATTAATGTGTTGGGAAACATAGGAATATTCATGGAATATTTCATGAATATACACCACAGAATATTCAGTTGAGAATATTACATGAATATACTGTACAGAATATTCAGTTGAGAATATTTCATGAATATACCCTACAACACATTCAGTTGGGAATATTTCATGAATATACAAGACAGAATATTCATTTGGGAATATTCCTGGAAAATTCATACCTGAATATTCCCTGAACATCACTTTGGAATATTCCTTCTAGATGTTCCAGAGGCATGTATATATTCTAGGAATAATCGATTAATATTGGGAATATACTCCTCCTTTTTAGCATATTTAGAGAATATTCTAGGAATATCCAGTGCTGTCTGGGGTATTGCTGATGGAAATACCGAGTATAGATATGGGGGGCTTGGTGGGGATGGGGGTGCCAGACATTACAATGTCGGGCATACTGAGTTCCGCCTTTCTAGAGAAAATACAGGCTTGAGTTTTGGTGACGTTGAATTCAACTAGGCTGTTGGTTCCCCAGGCTGTGATTTCAGCAAGTATACTAATCAGTTTTCGGATTGCGATTATTTTAACTGTCGACAGAATTTTCAGCTTGTTTTTCAGTTTTTCATTGGACCAATTTACCGATGGTTTATTTGAGCAACATTTTTTCAAGGGAAAATGTTTATTTACTAACGCATTGTATGTGTTTATGTTCCAATTATCAGATTGTTTTAGTTTTCCAAATGATCGTGAAATAGATTGCAGTTAGCTTGACTCATTGAGTTTTTAAAATTTGCTAAGGCGCTATTCGAGAAATGCCTCCTAAGATCCACATTCGCATCAGTCACCTTCTTCACAGATGTAATAATGAATTGACCCAAAGTGGTCAGAGAGACAATAATCATACACACCTACTGTCCGATATTCAGGGCTGATATCCGTGATCAGATTGTTAATGTAAGTGGCAGAATTAGAAGCGACACTAGTAAAATCATTTGAGCAATAATAATGAATTTTTGTATTGCTAATTAGGAATATCACCAATACATGATTGATAATTTATGCATTACTGTATAACTAATATTTCTGAAGTTCCCAATCATATTTCAACATATGGCAACTATGCTCCTACTCAATAAATCTTGACGTCAGTTTCTATTTGCGGTGAATTTCTAGCCGTTTGAAAATTACCGTGGCATTATTGATGATTTCAGCACATTAGAATCGACAAAATACATAAAGTATAATCTGGAATTGAAAGGTATTTGAGTGATGATTCCATTCAAGAGATGAAAAAACATTAGTCCACTTGCCCATTGAACGGTTTTATCAAATAATTTAGAAACTCTATAACTGAAATAATTTCTACTGAATTGACATCTCATAAGATTGAGGTCCGTTCGTATAAATCTCTGTTGATAAGAAATTAAGTCTCCTGTAACTCATCAGCAAGGCACACGTTGCCATGGATATCAATATAAACATATCTAAAAGTCAATTCCAGGTAGCACAGGTTAGTGAAATGACGTAATAATGACGTCTTTTTGAGTCATCATTGGGTTTTGACCTCTTCGACTGCAATGAGACTTAAAAATGACGTCATATGTTTCAGGACGTCATATTGACGTATATTATAATACTGAATGTCATGAAGACGTCCCACCAAAGTCAATTTTCTGCTATTCGTAAGCTATAGGAACTTATCGAGTTCTTCTGATAGTGTTATGTTTGAACCCAGTATCAATATGGATACGAATCTGAGGGCAAACATTCAAAAGAAAAATACTTCGATTCTACGAACTGCTAATTTATTACTGAGGAATTAAATCCATATACAGCGAACACCGGGCAAGCATGCAAAAACGTTCGGGTTTTTTACAGCTACAATAGTTCGATACATTTTATGAATAAACTGAAATATAAACCATTTCTATATACATGAATCTTAATATCTAACAGATAGTTTCTTCAGAATTAGCAATAAAATCTGAATCCCATGCATTAGAATTTTGTGAAAGAATATAAGAGGAAAAATTCCAAGACAATGGATTTATCAAAGCTAATTAGGAATATTATCAATTTATTATTATTGAGAATTGATGCATCATTAAATTAATCATATTTCAAAAGTGCTCAATTGTATTTCAACATATAGCAACTGTGCTATTGTCTGCCCCTACTTACGAAATCGTGACGTCAATTCCAATTTGCGGTAAATTTCTAGCTATTTGAAAATTACCGTGGCAGTATTAGATGATTTTAGGACCTTAAAATAGACCGATAAAAATCTTGAAATATATGGAATTGAATGGTACTGATGATTCTGTCTGTAGGTTAATCGAGGAGGTGGTACAGGGTGATTCACCATAAATGTCCCCCCCCCTCTAGCTCACTTATTTTTGAACCGATTTAAAAATTTGAAAAATGATCTAGAATGATTTTTCAGAATTTTTTTCCCGTTGCATCAGAAAATACAGGGTGCTCGGAACAAATGATCTGATGAGTACTACTTGATTTTTTCAAATGGAACACCCTGTATTTCATTGTAATTTTAGATTCTTCCTGAAGAGCTGATTTCATCAATATATCACACTTGGAGTCTAGCGGGAATGATTACAGAGATATAGGGTGTTCAAAATCGAGATTTTTCAAGTTTAGGATTTTTTTTTCTCGAAACTATTCATTATTGGTCGAAACGGCTTCTATGTTTCCATCTTAACTTTTGATTTACTGTCTACTGACATTTAATTGGAACATTTACAGGGTGGTTGAAGATTCAGAATTCTGATCACCCTGTATCTGTTCCAATTATCAAATGTCAGTAGATAGTAAATCAAAAGTTAATAAGACATGGACATGAAAGCCGTTTTGACCGATGATGAATAGTTTCGTCTCAAAAAAATCCTAAAGTTGAACAATCTCGATTTTGAACACCCTATATCTCTGTAATCATTCCCACTAGACCCCAAGTGTGATACATTGATCAAATCAGCTCTTCAGGGAGAATCTAAAAATACAATGAAAAAAAGGGGGTGCCATATAAAAAAATCAAATTGTACCCTGTAGACCGTTTGTTCCGAGCACCCTGTATTTCCTGATGTAGCGGAAAAAAACTTTATCGAAAATCATTCAAGATGATATTTCAAATTTTGAAATCGGTTTTAAAATAACCGAGCTAGAGGGGGGGACATTTATGGTGAATCACCCTGTACATTCATTATTCCAAATTGTTTGGGATTTTCTCTCCTCGTTTTTATAAAATAAAAATATGAAAATTATTTCAATATAGGTACGTTTAGTGAGGACAAATCAGATGATTTGCCCCAAAATGTCACTGCGTTTAAAGAATTTTCCTATCAGAGAGCCTAAAAGAAAAATTTACCAGCTTGTCAGTGACAATTTGTATTGAAAAAAGTTTATATACAGTAGAGTATACATATACTCTCCAAAAGTTCAAAAAAAAATTCCAATACCTACCTCCTGTCCCTATCCTCCCTAGGATCGCACGATGTTCTTTGAACATTATAGGGATTCCCTTTCGTGCGCTCCAAGCGATAAAAAAAAATTGTCCTTAACTACACGTATATTGAAATAATATTCATATTTTTATTTCATTGAAACGAGGAGAGAAAATCCCGAAAAATTTGGAATAATGACTGATGATTCTATTTAAAAATAAAAAAATAGTTGATTTGCCTATCACCTTGCATTAGTTGCTTTTTCCTTTTTTCTATAGGATCCCTCACTCAAGCATCATCAATACGACTTGGAGGAGATGTATTCGTACCTTTCCGCAACTTGTTGCCTATGATTCATCCAGATGACATCATCATTGACGGATGGGACATCAGTTCAATGGATTTGATCGAATCGATGGAAAGAGCTCAAGTTCTGGAACATACGCTTCAGCAGCAACTGAAACAGCATATGAAAGGAATGAAACCAAGACCATCGATATATATTCCAGAATTCATAGCTGCTAATCAGGTTAATTATCAATTCTTAATCATCCATTGAGGAATATACAGTGTGTCCCAGCTGAAACTTGTCACCCCCATTATCTCCGAAGTCGTTGAAAAAAATTAAAATTGTTCGGACTGGTCGATTTTAATTTGGCCAGGGACACATCCCAGATAACACCAACCATCGGCCCAGCATTTCATGTACTTTCCTGGCGTCGAGGTGTCCAGGCGTTACCATCGAGACAATAAGGCTTGCATGCTCCGTGGTGACTGGTGACGTCACCTTAGTAAGGCCTAACAAGCGGCTCGAAACGACATGCGGTTATAGCGCTATATGGTTAGTCTTGAAACAGGAATTTTTAAGGGTAAAACTGCATTTATCATGCGATGTTTTTTTTTTCGAAATTTTTTTTTTTGGTTCTCACGTATTTTCGTCTGAAAAACACGAATTTGATAATGAAAATATGAACAAACCACTATTTATCGAGATATTTCAAGAAAAAGTTCGAATTTTCGCCTTCTTTCTCCCCTTGTGTTGGGGGCATTTAAAGCTACTTGCTCTTCTTATTTTGTCATTGGACATTTCATATACTCACTCGTATACTCATGATGTACTTCGATTTTTATATAGAAAACTCAACAGGAAATATGATTTTTATGACGAGTTTTTCATATTTAGTGAACAAGCATTCCAGATGACGGCCATTTAATCAATAGTCAATCAAAATACGAGATGTCAAATGTCAAAAGATTGCTTTAGAATGACATTACACACGCCATTATTTTTTCACGAGGCAAATAACCGTTTTCAGAAAGAAATTTGAGAATGTATTGAGTTAAAAATGCCCGTTTATTATGAACATTCATGAAAATTTACTAGAATTCAGAGATGATTTTGTTGAACATAATATACGAATACAAAACTAACTGCACAATCAAAGCTTTTCTCTTTTTCCTCTACTCATACTTTTTATGAGAGAGTTTTTAAATCGGTTGCAGTAGATGAAGTAATAATATCATCTTTAGTAAAATGTAATTCACATACTTTACTGTACTTAGATGGAGTCGTAAAATCCTCACGGTGAATTGCATATACCCACTTTTTCGATAGTTCCTTGTCCAACGGGAAACTAAAAGCATGAACTTTTGGAACACCCACATAATTCCCCCGACAAAAGGGAACACAACACTTGAAAGGCATTGTTATTTCGCTTTTATCACAACACAAAATATTTCACAAAAAAGTAATTTTTCTGCCAATTATTTTGATGAATAAACAACAAAAGAATTCGGGACCGCTTCAAAAACATACATACATAAATCACTGAACATGAATTAACACGAACTGACGCGTTAGTCGACAAGCGATAAAACACTGGCCTCTCTTAGGTGACGTCACGAGCTGTTTACGCCAGAGTCTGCTGGCCTTCTAATCTCGATGGTAACGGTTCAGGCCACCGCCAGCCGGCCGTAATACACATTACCGGCGATTAAATTATTGACTCAGAAGTGCTACACAGCGACAACAAATTTCAATGTACCAGTGATGAGAGCGCTCAGCCAACAACGTATATGCGCTTGCAAATCCGTATCATGGAGGATGTGTGTTTCGAGCACTTCGCAAGTATCTGACCGCGAACTACAAACTTCAAATGCGCACAGTTTGTAGTTCGCGGTCAGATACTTGGAAAGTGCTCGAAAAACTCATCCTCCTTGATACGGATTTGCAAGCGCATATACATTGGTGGCTGAGCGCTCCCATCAATGGTGCATTTGAAATTTGTTGCCGCTGTAGCACTTCTAAGTCAATAATTTAATCGCCGGCAATGTGTATTACGGCCGGCTGGCGGCCGCCTGGATACCTCGACGCCGGGAAGGCATTACATTCCAGTAGTCCGCCGTCAGTTCTCAAGGAGATCGGTGTTATCTGGGATACTGCTCAGTGATTATCATATCCCAAAGTTGAAACTTAGAAGCGAAACAGGCATCAACTCTCGATTTTCAAATGGAACACCCCAGTGCCGGATTAGCCACGTAGCAATAAGAGTAGCAAATGCTACGAACCCCGTGAATTGGGTGCCCCGCGCTCTAACGCCTGTCCGGCCTAACTGTAAAAATAAAATTACGAGAAATATCTTGCATGCTTTGAACGCGAGTCGCGAAGCGATTATGCTATGCTTTAGAACTGACCGACTGTGAAGAATACCAGCAACAGACATCAGGACGAATTCAGCGGCTGTAGCCACACTCGACGACTTCGTTGAAAATCAAACACCTGGACAACGTTTTGAAGTTCAGGTGTTAATTGTCAAAAATCAAACATCTGGACATCGTTTTGGAGTTCAGGTGTTTATTGTCATCATTGGTAACGTACTTGTCTACTATAACTAAACATAATGAAGCATATCATAAAATTACTAGTGTTTTTGGAGTATTTCGACAGCTAAAATCTCTGACAACAAAAGAGATTTTGGAAAAATCCTCAATGATGGTCAGTGCTTACAAAGATAATTTGGAAACCAGCCTAGCCTGAAAACGGCTACTGTCATTCACAGCAACAAACCTCTGGAGGAGCCTCTAGAACTGCAATCTTATAAACTTTTTTCTACTCACATTACTAAAATGGCATTTAGCGTACGGATATGTACCACGCTAAACGATCGATTAATCACGGATTGACGATCTGTAATTTATTCAAAATATTAAATACGTTACCATGGCAACACGATTTCTTAAACACATTACCATGGCAACACAGTTCATTAAACACAGCTTTAGTAATTTTAAACATGTCTGGCCTGTCAATTGTATCAACTGTCAACTGTTATTGTTCAAATTTTGTATCAGAATTATTCAAACAATATTCGTTTGTATCAGAATTCTTCATTAAAAACATATGAGAAATGTTGACAAAATTGAAATCGAAGAGAATGTTCTGGTACTCCAAGAAATGTAAAAATGAAGCATCCATCTTTGAGAACAATTGATTTATTCTGTGCTAAGCATGACAATAAATGTGAAACGAAGGTTAGTAATCAATGGACTGGACAAACCTTCAACTAATATCACTTATATGTGTCTCGCTGGTTGCATGCAGTTGCATGTATTATGTTCTCAATTCCCATTCCTTTCGAATTATTTTGAAGGTTAACAGGAATAGCAGGTATGTTAATGTAATTTTTGGAGTTCCTAGAAAAAGCATAGTATGTAACGATCGAGTTTATAAACCCTTCTAGACACTCGTTTATTAAACACCCGCTCCGCTCTGCTCCGCACGTGCTTAAAATACTCGTTTCTAAAAGGGCGTTTATAACACTTGTTACATAATATACTATATTATTGAATAGTTCCTTAGAATCGTGTTCCCCAAACGTAAAAATTGTCATGCGAATTTACACTTGTTTTTCATAAATCTTGTTGTGGAGAACCTTCTTTTTTGACATATCATTGTATTTGAAATGAAATAATAAGGAACAGGATGGGCCAAAAACGTCTAAATCTCACTTTGATAGATATACAGCATGATTTGCTTAAAGAAGTCGATAATGAAAGTGTCATCTCTGAATTTGCTCATATTAAATTCAGAAAAGTTCATTTGTAATAGTTTTGTTTTATTTTATTTCATACCCTAAACCTGAGAACCTAAATCATACCAAGGGCCCCTTGTTATAATTTGCTACAGGCCCCGCGCTGGCTTGATTCGGCACTGGAACACCCTGTATTTTGTTTCATATAGTCCAACAAAGGAATATGAGAAACATAAAAAATACAACATAAATAACGTGAGTCATCCTGTAAACACTCGAGGTTTCTAATTTATTCATACATTTTTCAGGAATCTCGCGCTGATAATATAATAACTGGTACCAGACAAGAACAACTGGAGCAAATTCAAAAGGACATTGCCGATTTCAAAGAATCTTCGGGGGTAGAAAAAGTCATCATTCTGTGGACAGCAAACACAGAATGCTTCAGTAATGTTCTAGTTGGTGTTAATGACACTGCAGGTAATCTCAAAGCAGCCATAGCTTCCAACAGCTCTGAAATTGCGCCGTCAGTCATTTTTGCGTACGCAGCAATATCAATGGGATGCCCTTACATAAATGGCTCCCCACAAAATACTTTCTTGCCTGGCATCATTGACTATGCCGAAAAACAAGGGGTCTTCATCGCAGGAGATGACTTCAAATCAGGACAAACGAAAATTAAGAGTGTACTCGTTGACTTTTTGGTGGGGGCTGGCATCAAACCCGTCAGTATAGTCAGTTACAATCATCTTGGCAACAATGATGGAAAGAATTTGTCAGCACCTGAACAGTTCAGATCGAAAGAGGTATGTATCTAATAGGCCGCTTCCTTTAGATGATTTAGTAAGACGCATGCGCTCATTTTTAGAACCAAATTCTGACAGGACAGTGCGAAGGTGAAGTAATTAAGTAGCTGATGGTTTTCATGCAGCAATCCGTGATTGGTCCATTTTGACTATCCGTTAGTGTCAAATAATCATGAAGCGCAATGCTGTGGGCGTTTGTTAATGAAAATATATAATTTTATACATATGTTTTTATGTGCCTCTTCGCATATATTAGTACGTACAATTCGATAAACTTGACTCAACTTATATACCTAGATGTTGGATTGCGATTGTTGATGTATCTGCGGTGTAACCTCAGTGCAACAAGTGATATATGGACATACCATCGCTATCCTTATCTTGACATTTATTTGTTATTGCCCTCGGGTGCGTTCGATTTTTAACTTTCAGAGTAGAGTAAAACCAGTTGAAGGTTAATTACTATTCCTTTTGGTATTCGAACGGAAACTTAAGTTAGTTTATTGACATGACATGTTTTTCAAGTTGACAAGTTCAGTTTCAGTTCAGTCGGTTCAGGTTCAATTCATAAAGGAATAGGTAGATGTTATATTCCAGTTGTATTTAAATAATGCTGATTGCCGCTTATCAATGTTGAAACCACGTCTTTGGTTCTGCTATACTAATAAAGCATAATATACAATAATCCTCAATACGCATATAAAATTGAATTGATAATTGAATATTTTGTCATCAGAACAGTATACACAACAGAAACCTAACTTTCTCACTCTTTAAACATCGAAATATGATGTTGAGGATATGAAAACAATCATAAACTGCGCTTCAAAAGGACCTATCTTTACTTGACACAAACAAAACAAACTATCCTTGTTCGCCTCGTAATAACTTTGTCAAATCTGTGGAGTAAAATTCAGAATCCGAAATCGCTGGGATTGTTATTAATGAATAATATTTTGTATGTATTTTGTATGTATTTTGTGAAATGTGTATATCGCTACTTTGAAGTTGGGAACCATCTTCCCAGAAGTCGAAACTCGTGCGGGGTTAGGAAGAGCGAAACCTAAAGCTTATAGTGTAATTCGAACCACTTCTAGGGCGGTGAGATATGATCCAGTATACATACTTGGCGTCGTTAAGATCAGCCCCATCGAGATTGACCATTTTGTATTGTTTTGTAATGTAAATATTCATTCAGGTCCTTTTATTGCTCGTCAACCCCTACTGCCATGAAATCAGTGGGAGAAAATAGATATATATGTATGTTGGAGTCAAAACAATCTGTAGTATTTGCAAACCGAGAGTATCTCTAAATATTTTGTTGCTCTGATGAGGGTGTGACTATTGTCGATCTAAATGAAAACCTAGTAGGCGGTGTGACTCTTTGTATATATAGTCTAGAAAGAATTGTTTTCGTACCTTTGGGCGTAAACTTGGTTCTCATCAGATGTAAACAACGATTGTCGTTTATCATCTGAATGAAAAGGCCTCTATCTGGAGTATCTGGGTAATGTTACCTGGAAAGTCCTCTTGGAGTTTTGGAAATTGGTATTTTCATATATTTTGACATGCTCTTTTCGAATTCTTACTTTTCCACCTTCATCTTTGCCACTCCTATCTTGTAAAAATGGCGCCCTAGAACAGTTTTTTGAAAATATCTCCTTTGCGACTCATTGGAAGATGAAAAATATAAACATATAAAAAATTTAACTTGAGAAAATGTTCAATATAATTTATGTGCTCATCTTTTTTTTGTCAAATGAATAGTTTCAGCGTACGAGCTACGAAAAAGCCTACTCCTTTTTCATGCGTATCGGCGAAAAAACTGTTTTCTACATCTCCGTGCTATATTTAGTATCCCCAGAGTAGGCCTAATTGAACTAATTACATGTAATGCACTAATTACGATCGTTCACTTCGCTATACACAGATTCAAGTATACTGCAAAAACTTAGAATTTAGTGGAACCGGTGAAAATAGAGAGTAGAGTAGATATGTCTGATGATTATTGGTCGAAAAATTTTTGAACATTTCATCAAAATTGGCTAAAGCGTTCTCAAGCTGATATATTAAACACTCAACATTTTTTTACCTCAACATCCTGTAATTCATAAACGAAGCTTTTTCGGACTCTTGTTCATGTGATTTTATTTTTCAGCATATTTTGCTGAGCCGAATCTCCCCTAGGCCATTTTGTGCAGGCTTTGGTCATTGTCACTTTACTTCTGTAACAACCTGTATATAATTATGTTAGCAGTATCTTTGTAAATTTCAAGACAGAAATTTTAATTTTTAGATTTCGAAAAGTAATGTAGTGGATGATATAGTACAGTCAAACAATACCTTATACAAACCTGGAGAGAAACCGGATCACGTGGTCGTTATAAAATATGTCCCTTATGTGGGTAAGTCAAACACTATGAATACCAAGAATGCATCTGTATATATAAGGTGGCTCATCCTATCCCTTTACTGCGAAGTTAACATTCAGAAGGCAACGCGGTGACATCAGATGAGGTTTGAAAATGTATTTCTGTAATCTCAGAATCTGCGTGATCCATAGCCTTGAGCTGAGTCCCCGCGATGACGTCACATACCTAATGATAAATTCACCAGATTGAGCCACTTTTTATAGATACAGAAGAATATTCTTGATATACCATTACAATGAAGTCTAAAAACTGTCAGTAGAAGGGCTATACGGGCATCAGGGCAAGCCAATCAGAGGCCATCATTTGGTTGGAGGCCACGCCCACTGAACCAAACAGAGACCGGCGCGAAATTCAAACTATTCATGCAACGTCACGTCACCATCATGAATAAAGTTAAAAAAGCTGTCGCCGCTGAGGAATTGTACCAGGGACCTTCGCATTCTGAGGTAGGGTATACGCACTGTGGTACTCGGACCTCCGTAATAGTTTCATTATTTTAATGCGATTCAAACGAGATATGTAGACGTTGGAAAGTCGACACACTGTTGAGTGAAGCGAGAGATGCGTTGCAGAGATAAGAAACTCCAAGTCGAAAATAATATCCTTCGCTGGCGCGCGCTTATCTCTTGAACGGATCTATAAAGGTAAAGTATGGCAAGATATACGTTCCAGGGATAAGAAAATTCGAGTCGAAAATAATATCCATCACTGCCGCGCGCTTATCTTTGAAACGTATCTATCGAGGCCAGAATCACGGAAAAGTCACGAAACACCACGTGAATGTCACAGAACACCACGAATATGTCAAGAAAACGGCACGGATCGACTCAGAAGATGCAGGCATAATGAAACATGTGTGATGTTTTCGTGACATTTCCGTAGCGTTTCGTGACATTTCCGTTGTGTTCCGTGCCATTTCCGTGGTGTTCCGTGACATTTCCATGACACTTCCGTGGTATTCCGTGAAGTTTCTGTGACATTTTTGTGGTGTTCTGTGCCGTTTGCTCGACATATCCGTGGTTTTCTGTGACATTTACGTGGTGTGTCGTGACTTTTCTGTGGCATTTCCGTGGTGTTCCGTGACATTGCCGTGGCGTTTCCATTATTCTGGCGTCGATAGATACGTTTCACAGATGAGCGCGCGGCAGTGATGGGATATTATTTTCGACTCGAATTTTCTTATCTCTGGAACGTATATCTCGCTTTGCTTCACCTCTACAGATCCGTTCAAGAAATAAGCGCGCGCCAGTGATGGATATTATTTTCGACTCGGAGTTTCTTATCTCGGCAACGCATCTCTCGCTTCACTCAACACTGTGTCGACTTTCCAACGTCTACATGTCCCGATTAAATAGCATTAAAATAATCAAACTATCACGGAGCTCCGAATACCACAGTGGGTATATACGCTACCTCAGAATGCGAAGGTCCCTGGTTCAATTCCTCAGCGGCGACAGCTTTTTTTAAATGTATTCATGATGGTGACGTGACGTCGCATGAATAATTTGAATTTTGCGCCGGTCTCTGATTGGTTTAGTGGGTGTGGCCTCCAACTAAATGCTGGCCTCTGATTGGCTTGCCCTGGTGCCCGTATAGCCCTTCTACTATCCAGCATGTCCATGTCAGTCTATTCAATGGACATCCATTAGGAATCTTGACCATCGCAGTATCAATCAGATGTTTTTGCTACGCTTTTACAGGAGACTCAAAGCGAGCACTAGATGAATACACCTCAGAAATACTAATGGGTGGTCTGAACACCATAGTGATTCACAACACATGTGAAGATTCTCTACTAGCCACTCCCCTCATCCTTGACTTGATCATCTTAGCTGAGCTATTCACAAGAATCGAGGTCAAGCAAGAAAACTCTCCAGATGACGGATACACTCTGCTCCATCCTGTCCTATCTGTACTCAGCTATTTCTGCAAGGCTCCAGTGGCCCCTACAGGGACTCCAGTAGTAAATGCTCTGAGTAGACAACGAGCTTGCTTGGAAAATATCATAAAGGCATGCATCGGCCTACCTGCAGACAGTAACATGAATTTGGAGCATAAAGTTCAATTTTTAATGGACACTCATGTGAAAAATGAATGAATAAGAAATTGATGGGAGAGAGAAGTGTTTTGTTGAGCAAATATGTATTTTTGATTGTCCAGAATATTATTTTATTTTTAAAACAATAAATTATCTGAAACAATAACATTCTTTTTGAAAACTAGAATAGATACTTCCTGTAGGTGATCGAAAATATGTGGGAAATATTCATCTCTCTAGCATATTTGCTCTCTATTTTCTCTTCTCGCATCTATGAAAATATGAGTATTATTTCAATATACCTATAGTCATCTGACTTTACTAATTGTCGAAAGTTGCCACTTTAGTGTTGTTAATGAAATCAGGACAAAAATGTTCCTAAATTACGAAGAAATTGTTCTGATATGTAAAATCAGACTTGCTTCTCCTATCGTCCCGGAAATATCGGAGCTTCCCGAATGTCGACTTGCCACATGTACAAATCCATTCACTCATACTGGAGTGGATCACTTTGGACCAATAAATGTTATGGTTGGTAGACGTATTGAAAAACGTTGGAGGGCACTTTTCACGTGTATGACACCTCGAAATTGCATCAAAATTGGACCATAATGAATGCATTCTCTGTTTTACTAACTTCATGAATAAAAGAGGTCGTAGGCCTGCACATATTCATTGCGATCGTGGAACCCACTTCATAGCAACGGAATGTGTTTCGCTATAGAAGAACTATAAAAGCGAATTGCTAATTCTTTCGTAAATCGAGAACTATCATTCCATTTTCACTCACCTCTGCCACCTAACATGGGAGGAGCATGAAAACGCTTGGTCAATAAGGCCATTAAAATTGCCTTGTATGACGCTTTGCCACCAACAACACCCACCGATTCACTGCTGGCAGTTGTTTGATTGCAGCCGAAAACATTGTCAATTTCACACCGCTGACCAATCTCCGAATGATTTAATGAAAAGGTGTTGAAATTTAGCTATTTAGCTTTTATTGCGTTCTAAGTGGCACTTCAGAAGAAGGAAACATCGTAATATACGATAAAGACCTACCCCATTGCAATTGGACCAAAGGCACGATTATAGAAGTTACGAGAGCGCGTGATGGACAAGTAAGAAGAACCAAGGTACAAACGGTTACCGAAATTTTCGAAAGACCCGTAGCACAACTTGCTCTATTGTCAGTGGACAAACCTGAGAATGGTACAGCCCTTGCTCCTGACAGCGCTGTACTGGCGGAAGTGTTAAGAAAACTGTTATTTTTCTTTTTGATATTCGAAAGAATTCACGTCAGCATAAGTCTGTCAAATTTCGACAATTTTGTTGCGGATATTTTCTCAACAAATCAAGATCACATTTATCTCAAATAAAGCAAAACTAACTGGAACAGAAAATTTTAATTATCAAACTCCACTTTTTCTATCATAAGAACAAACGCACAAAATAATTGATTTTATAATAGATGTTGAATGTGTCCTCCATTCATTTCAATGCAGATTCCTGCTCGTTTCCTCATATTATCCCTCACTCTTTGGAATATATACAAGGCTTATTTCTTATCAATCAAATTGATATTCAAACAATCAAAACAAGAACATGTTAGAATAACTACCTCTGCCAGCACAAGAAAACATGATCTTATCATAATTCTTCTAGTCAGGTGATTCCAATGATCCTCCATCATACCTAGTCAATTTTATACTCGATGAAATCCATTTTTTTCCTTGGAGAAACAAATTATCCAATCAATGGTGAGCACTTTTTTAAGTATATAAATATCAATCATTTTCTTTATGAACCTGTAATTTGTATCAGTATCACATAAATATCACGTAGGTATTGATTTGATGATTTATCGTGGATTTGATTTAAAATAGAAGTTTTCATGTTTACGAGCACAATGGCTCCTTATTCCTCTTCGTGACATTAGGGGCGATCGTAAGTCACTCTAATAAATCATATTATTATTAGTTGTTAATATTGTAACAGTCTCAGGGGTTTGGTGGGTTTGCTGATAGAAATACTGATGGTTCAGGAGACTATTTATTTGCTTCTTAAGTTCACCAAAATCACGTGGTTGAGCGAAACGTCGAAAACCTAAATATGAAATGCGCTATTGAGCCCTAGGACGTACAGAACATCACATAATATAAGAGGTGAAGCAATTATACAAATAAGTAAAGACCTGAAGAGGTCGACCAAAAAATCATAAAGTATAGTATATAAAAGAGTTTTACCCACCTAAATATTAAATGCAGGCACAGGTCAAGATGTTCCAAAGGAACATTGGGCACATATAAAACCAAAAACAGCAAATTTGGGTTGTGGATGTTTACTTCTTCACTTGGTTGAGAAAACTGCCCGTTCAAGAGTGAAATGACCAGCGCAAGACATTTCGGAAATCCCCTCCTAACCATAACCGACCTAGGTGCGCGCACGGATTTTGAATCTGTATTAATGAAAGATGGGTTGCCTAGCCTCCTGAAGAATATTTGATTATATTTAAAAGAGAGCATGGGCGGCGACATTGATTTGTTTAAATATTGTAATTCGTAGGATTTTCAGTATATACTATACGCATATAGTCAGTGGAAGAAGTCAGAGAGGCTACTCAATAAAGTCCACATTGACCTACTGCAAAATAGCTTCTTAATAACAAGTGTTTCAAGCGTTGCTGCATTACCTGTCGTGTTTTCATGCGGGAAAAGTCGACCGTTCCGTTATACTGTCGTGCAATATATTCCTGAGAATGGTCTATGTACAGGCTGTCCCATTTTCGATGCCCTTACGGGATATCTCTTATTTTTGAATGTATAGATTTGCGGTTTTCGTGAACGCTGTCTACTTTTTTGTGAAACTCACGATATCGCAAACAAAATTTCCATAGCCCGCTTCGATTTGAGATACAGTGCGAAATTGAAAATTTTGCATTTTGGGATCACCCCTGTATCTCAGCTATCACACACTTGACTTGTTCCTCACTAATAATTCAACACCTCACACCATAGATGTACGAGCTCCACTTGGCAATTCTGACCACACACTCCATTTTTATTTCCATCAACTGCTCCGGCACCCCCACGACTTGTATGGAACTAAAATTCAGGCGACATGTTTTTCTTCGAGTTTTCTTGGCACAGAATATGTTTTGACTCTGAGGATCCTTCACAGTGTACTGCGGTAATATCTGAGATTATCACGCTTGGAATGGACATATATACCTCATTTTCTTCGAAAAGATCATCACCTTCGAAACCCTGATTCAACAAAAACTGTTCTAGAGCTGTTGCTTTGAAACAAACAGCCTACCACCGCTGGCGCAAAAACCCTGACCTCGCGACTAGAGTAGAATACGTTGAAGCCTGGGATAACTGCAGCCAAACAATAGATGCATCAAAAGGAACATACAATGCCAAAATGAGATCGGAACTCATAGATTGTCCCAACGGATTCCGTTCGTTTTGGTCCCTCGCTAAAGCAGTCGGGAGGAATTTTCACCATCAATAGTTCATTTCCACCACTCTCCAAAGCTGACAACATCGCAGGAGAAAACAAATATTTTTGCAGAGATGTTTGTTTGCAGCAAACTCTACTTTAAATTCCCAAGGAAAAGTGCCGCCCGATATTCCACTCGGTGAAAGTCGAATTCTCGAAATCGTCTTCCGTCAACGCACTATCTGACGGATTTTGCTTGGTCTCAAAACGAATAAGGCTAACGGTCCTGATGGAATTCGACCCATTATCCTCAAAAAATGTGCACCAGAATTGACATCTATTCTCTGCAAGTTATTTACCATCTCGTACAAATCCGTTATTTTTCCGTCATGCTATCTGTGCTAGAAGATAGCTAGAGTCCAACCAATCCCCAAAAAAGAGAACAAAAACCTGCCCAACAACTACAGGCCTATTGCCCTGTTATCAGTAATCTCCAAAGTTTTGGAGGAAGCCATCAACATTGAGCTTATCAAATATCTGAAAAGCTCAGGCTTTCGCCACCGATGATAAACTGGAGATGTACTTGCCTACGTCACCCAGAAACACATGGGAATCTTTAGCTGTGGTGTTAGACATATCGAAAGCATTCGACCGTGTTTGGCACCAAGGACTCCTTCACAAACTACCATCATACGGCTTACCACCTCATCTCTTATCGAGTTTTCTTTCAGGCAGATCACTCCACGTGGTGGTGGACGGTGTATCGTCGTCTGATACCATTGCCATCAATTCCACCGTTCCACAAGGATCAATTTTGGCACCAACATTGTTTCTACTTCATATCAATGATCTGTTGGGAGCAACCACTTGCGCTATCCACAGTTTTGCAGATGATAGTACGCTCATACTGCGTTCTCTTACAGAATTCTCATTTCTTCCCAGGAAACTATAAGAACTCACGGCAAGGGCATGTCATTGGTGTCAATGAAGAACTTGCTAAAATTACAGCATATGGGGAACCAACAACCTAGTTGAATTGAACGCCGCGAAAACTCAAGCCTGTATTTTCTCTAGAATGGCGGAACGCAGTATGCCTGTTATAACAATGTCTGATACCAATTCTGCGGCTTCACAAAAACTCTTTATTCCGTGCGAAAAGCTAAACACCTCAACAGCTTCTTATGATTTACAAAGCACAGATACTACCTGTTCTAGAATACTGTTCTCACATATGGGGTTCAGCACACAAACATACTCTGATGCTCCTAGATTCCATCCAGAGAAGAGCCATTCGCCTGGTGGGTGATGCGACACTCAATCACTCACTAACACTTTGACATCATTGGCACACCGTAGAAAGGTAGGCGACCTTTCACTATCTTATAGATACTTCCACGGGTAATGTTCTTCAGAAATCTCTGCTATCATTCGTCTACTATAGTAATACCAGCCAGACTTACTCAACCTCGGAATAAATCGAACAGCACTCATCAAAACTCTTATTTTTCCTATAGAATAAACGGGAAAGTTCTGGAATTCATTGCCTAAGGAAATATTCCCAAGAACTTATAACCTCCAAAAGTGAAAAAAAAATCCGACACCTACCTCCTTTCCCTATACTTCCTAGGTACACACGATATGTTCTTCGAACATTATAGGGATTCCCTTTCGTGCGCACCAAGCGATGAAAAAAGCAGATAGTTAGGCCTGTAATGACATACGCATGTCTGGTTTTTTGCAGTGCCTCACCTAACCAAATAGGAAGGTTACAGGTGCTACAATATAAAGTTCTCCGTATCATTACCAATGTTATTCGATATTCTCTAGTGGCAGAACTTTACGATCATTGTCATTAATATACCAAAAATCCGCACTACTGTGGTTTTTGGTCAGCAGGTCATACTTAACCTATTAAACCTATGAATATCGTATATACTAATTTGTATGTATCATGAATTTTTAGTATCAGTGGTCACACGAGCTTTTAAAGCTCATCGTGACCCTGAATATGACCAATTTTAATCATGACTGCATCATACTTCAATAAGTATCAATATTTCATACATCAAAATAAAACATTTCTAGTTGATCATAGACTTTATATCAAATAACATATAAACACGTTTACATTGACTATAAATAAAGTATCAATATATTATATATCAAAATAAAACAATACCAGTTGATCATAGACTCTATATCAAATAACAAACATGTTTCCATTGATTCCCAGATAGCACAATTTCATTCATAGAACGTTCATAGGATATACTTCGGGAATATTTGAATATTCTCAGAATATTCTCACAATATGATACAAATATTCTAGGGATGTTTTATGAACATTCGTAATGGAATGTTTTAACCAGAAACCTTAACCACTTCGCCACAAACTTTATTGATAAATACAATGAATAGCAAGATGACAACACTGAATTAATTTGATAATCAGCATTGAGGCTAGAGAATAATAGGTTGTGTCAGGTAAACAATAAATATTGAAACAAGAAAAGGAACATCAATATAATTTATTTTGATACGATTCTGAATATTCTCAGAATATTCAGAAAGGATATTCCCTGAACATTCAAAAAGAATATTCTGAGAATATGTCAAATTGAATGTTCATAGAATATTCGCTGCAGGATGAGAATATTTTATGATCATTCTGAGAACATTATATAAGAATATTCTGAAATAAGTATATTTGAACGTTTGTCAGAAAATCCATAGAATATTCGGTGTCTGGGTTGTAAATTGAAAGTTGTGCCATTAAAAGTTGTAACTCATCACCTTGGTTGCCGAAACAACCTTTAGATGTTCTCGAATTTATACTTCATACTGCATGACACTGATCTGCTAACTGTGAGCGATTTCCCAGCGAGCACAAACACCCCTGGGATGTTTTGTCGGATGTTTTGAAAATGTTGGCATGAAGATGTTTTTTGCTTTTTTGATGAAGTCTGATTTATTTCCGATTTTGTTCTTGTTCGCATACGCGTTTGCAGCGTCTTTTTATTCCATTATTACAATACCAACGACCTCCTATTTGTCTCATAACAGAAGCAACGACATATAGATGGTTTATTATTCTAATTGGAACTGGCCAGACATGTCGTCCATAACCCGTAATAATATTACAAACAGCACAGAATATTTTACGAATATATTCTCTAGCCTCAATCAATACTAATTATTATCCTAGTGAAGTGCATATTGACATCTTTCTATTCATAATCTGCATGTTGACATCTTTCTATTCATGTCATTCATTAATAAAAGTTTATATAGCTCAGTGGACAAGGTGTAAGAATTGTCAAAAGTCACTATAGAATAGGTTCGATTCCCCAGCGGGTTAGCTCATTTTTAATATTCTTCTCTTCTTTCTACAATACACCCACCAGGAATGATTTATTTGCAACGATTAAATGTGTGCAAAACGCTTTGGAAAGGTTATGTTGTGTCCATGACATAAAAAACAGGTAGAATGTATTTTTGTGACATCCTAAGGATATCTTTAATAACGCCGCCTGCTGCGGACATTGGCTGTTCTATAAAAGTTCTATTCATGTGAACAGGACATCGCAGTGGTTCAATGTCTCGACATCTCGTACTTTTAACATCTCTGAAACGTTCTTGTGCTCGCTGGGTTTGGCCTTGAACATGTTGGAGCAGTGATAAATGACAAAAGCTGTGATATTAACGGAGCAATATGAAATAATAAGCACGTGTTTATATGCAGATAATCCCGTCGGAGCGGCAGTGATTTTGCCAACCGGCGATATGTGCGTAATTATTTCTTTGCTATTTACCGACAGAGATCAATGGATCATCAGTCAACGTAGGTATGGAGAACATTTGATACTAAACAATGGTTGTCGGCATATTGAAAACAAGAGTATACGGGTATACTTAAGATCAGTTCTGTGGGATCTTTGATACAAGAATAGCCACAATTTGTTTGTACTAGATGGAAGGTGGAATTATAGTAGTGACAACATTGCACAAAAACATGTTCATTAATTTGGTAGGTGCCTACCTACTCATACAGTTCATATTGAATTATTTATTCATCATGGTAGTTATAAAGAAAAAAAAACTCATATAACCTAACATCCTATCACGTAAGTATTACCTTATTTGAGGCGAAATATATGTTAGGTATCTTATATTATAATATTCGAGATCTTTTCGATTGCAAATTTGAAAACGAAAACTAGTACATGTAGCTTGAACTATACTTGTATCGAGACTCCAACATGAATTCATCTAGGTGAATAATTTCGTAGTTCTAATCTTTGCTTTCATCAACTGTTTAATTGCTCTCGTTACCGCTCCAACATGTAACATATTGACGGCCTTACAATTAATTGTATTTAGAAATTATGTGATGGTTGTGAAAATAACATATACAGGGTGTAAATGAATAGGTGCAAAAACAGTCAAGTGATAATTCCTTGTCATAATTTATGAAAATTAAGTGCATATAAATATTCGTCGTAACATGCTTCCTTTTCGAGATACATGGTATCATAATGTTTCCATAAATTCATTCACATCCTGTATACCACGGTATAAAAGCCAATTCGTGCCACGCCTTCTTACTGATTCCTAATAATATAAACACTAAAACTTGATCACCCTGTTTTCTTTAATATACATACACTTGCATGTAACGAGACCACATATGATAAACGTAATATTTGATGAAAAAATCAACTGAAACTAAAAGTATACCCTTTACAGGCCATGCTGGCTTTGTATACACGTCCTGTAAAGATAATCTTTCCAAGCTTGTTATGTAAACAACTGTAATCGGTCATAAGCATTATGCATTTTCTACAGGGTAATCAATCAAACATTAAACATTAGTTACCAGTAAGGAATATATGTATATAAAATAGTTAACAGGATTGATGGATGTCTTATAAATTATCTCTGATTTTGAAGTATGCAAAGATCAGTAATGATTTATTTATCAAAGTAATCAATAGTGTCACCAGATTTGAAGTCTCCTTTCTCTAACAGTTCCAATAGTTTACTAACTGTCTGAAAGGGAGTCAATACTGCTGTTTCTTTAACCTGTTTGAATTCTTTCTGAACCTCTTCAGATTGTGCAGTTTCAATAATATTATTGAACATGTCTGTGTCAACAGGGCCTGGAGAGTAATTACATACCACAATATGGGGCTCCTCTAAAGCCAATACTTTGAAGAATATTTCTCTAGCAGCTTTTCCTGATCCATACATGGCTAGATTTGCAAAAGGGGCGCGGCCACAAAGGGAAGTTATATTAACTACCACCAGTTGCGGTGCGATAGGTCTAATATGCTTGATAAACAAGCTATTCAACATAACTGCAGAAAATAGATTAAGATCAAATTGTTCACGCCACGTTACTAAATCTGTCAAGTCAGTAGTACGTTTAACTGTACCGGTGAGTCCTGCATTGTGGACGATCATACCTAATCGAATATCTTTTGTATCAACAGAGTTCAGAATTTCTTGAAATAGTTTAGTGAAAACTTCATTGTCAGGTTTTGAGAGATCTGTGACATAAGTCTGAACTGTTAGAGATTTGTCAACTTCTAAAATTTGGGCTTTGGTTTCCTCTAGTCCTTTCTTAGATCGAGCAAGTAACACGAGTACGGAACTCTGATCCAACTTTCTAGATAGCTCAATTGATATTGTCTGGCCAATACCTCTAGAAGCACCAGTGACGAATATTATAGACTTCTGTGATAGATTCACCGCAGACATATCGGCCAAATAACAAAATTGGTGATTGATGGTGGCAACTTCCGCAACTTTCCAATTTTCGGCGAACTGTAAAAATATGAAAATATATCAGAAGTTAAGACAGCGATGATTTGGTTGTAATGGCATTGAATTAGCGATAGATAAGGTAAAAATTATGACGTAGGTAGTTGAAAATTCAAAATTCCGAAATAGTTCTGCTAAGTTTGCTGAGTTTACGGGGTCTTATACAACATGCCATTTTATTCATCGCTCTAACTACAGAATCACCCAGTATATCGAAAGTTAGTATTGTTTTCGGATATACCAAAGTTGAAACAATTTTTCAACTATCAAAAATAGTTATTTGTTTTACTAGGCAGAAAAGTACAAGATTTAATGCCGCGGCTGGCGTTTCATAGCCCAGGCGCAGCTGAGGCTATCTTGATAGAAATGCATAATGTATAGTGAATAACGCGTATTTCGACAAACCGTTCCTTTTTTTGATTTGTTTGAAACGTTGAGCAAAACATTCGAAAATAGTGTAATTAATCAGCCTAAAATTAGCCATTCAATACCGATATATCAAATCAGTGAAAAATATATTCTTCTCAAAAATGTTTCTGCTGAGTTCGCCCGAAGCAAACAAAGCAACAGGTTTATTTTAGAAAATATGCAGCAAAAAATCTGAAATGGGATAGTTATTGAGCTCACACTTTGCCTGATAAAATCGTCATAAAATATGCTTTTGAAAGAAATGCATAATGTATACCTAGCGAACAACGGGTATTTCGACGATTCGTTTCCTTTTTTTCCAAATGTTGTGCAAAAAATTCGAAAAAATGGTAATTAATCAGCCTAAAATTTCCAAAATGGAATATTTATCGAGCTTACAATCAATACTAACACTTTGCCTTATGAAATCGTCATAAAATATTCCTTTGATAGATAGATGCCTAATGATAGAGAGGAGCAAACAATTTTGTGTTAGTTTCATATACAGGGTGTTCCGTTGGGAACCGGAAATACTTTAACGGTGGATAGAGGTGACCAAAGTTGTTCTGAATATACCATATATGTTGAGTCTTACATGTTTCATTATCGAGATATAGGGTGTTTTATCAATTCTGGTCATTTCTCTGAAGGCTCATAGCACACGAACCACCTGGTATATTTTTTTCATATTTGGTAGACGTGTTTTTCCACTGCTACCCCAGCGACTTGTATATCCATCAGAAAAAAATTCCAGGCCCGGACTAACAAAAATTTAGCATATTATTGGGTCTTCGAAAAAACACCCTGTATGTTTGAATTTACAAAATCCGCTTACATATCTGAAGAGAGCACAAAATGTTGAATGGATTTGTGTACTTTTTATATTTCCCCGAGTATTTCCCCATGCTATTTTACTACTGAATTTCTGAAGCTGCAATGAAGGATTTGTGAATTTCCATAGCTAAAAACGAAATATTTTCAGTTTTTCATATCAAATTATGAAAATTTTGCAATTTTATAACTCATTTCATTCCATTTGATGTCAGTTCAATGAGAAAATCGTAACAAATGGACCACAAAAGTAGTCGAAATAATTATTTACAAGTGTTCATAAGTCCAAAACTATTAACTTTTTTGATAGAAAACCATTTATCAAACTTGTTCAGAATTCAACGTAGAATGTAATAATGCAATGAAATACAGGGTGTCCCATTTAAAAAAATTAACTTCTGAGTCACCGTGCATTTTAGAGACACTCTGTATGAATGAAACTTAAACCATTAAAGAGATCGAATGAAACCCTACAACTTATGTATTCAACATTTTTTTGTAATATGTAGAATAAAGAAGTTACAGGGGGGGCGACGGACTTTTGGTCCTCACATAATATAATTCTGAATATTCAACAGAATACAACTACTTTCCTGGCTATTTGCCACGTCGAACATTGAATTACATCTGTTGAATATCAAAAAAAGAGAGCATGAAAAATCAAAATCCTCTGAAATTGAGAAGTAACATCATGACGGAGAATGCAAATTCTCTACTTCAGAAGACTAGCAAGGTAGCCAGGTTAGATTAGGTTAGGTCATCATAAAATCCTTTTGGAGTGTAGAAGCTGATATTGTGCCAAGCAGATTTGTCATGGAACTGACATTATTTCCTCATGGAAGAGTATCATTGATGGAAATACCTAGCATAAATACTGTGGAGTTCGTCCCACAAGTGGTGGCAGACGTTGTTATATCATGAAAGGCATACCTACTGAGTTCACCCACAGTTGTCCAACTTTTCTATGAGAAAATACAGGCTTGAGTTTGGGTAGAACATTGGTCTCGTTAGTGGTAAAAACAGTGTAGTGTATAGTGTTGAAGGCTGGGTTGAAGGTTCCAGTTCCAGTATAAGTCAAAAAATGTACCAGCTATATTTTGTTGTTTTTTAATGGGATCCTCAGAGCCATCTAGCGCCAGAACAACTTTGTACTGTGCCTACTGTGGTGAGTTTGAGGGTGAGTTTGCTTCCTGCTTGCTCAAATTGTTTCAGTTTGAGGAATGTTGTAGGTAGTCCTGTGCATTTTTGTTCACTTCAAAGTGGAATGCCTTTGAATAGAGAGTCAGGATAGGATTAAACCAAAGACGTCGATGTATTGTATATTTCTGGTGGCTGTTAGTGACATTGCTTTGTTTCAGCAGTGTTAAAACAGAGTGTAGAATGTATTATGTTGAGGAATGTATACATTTGTGTGTATAAATAAGACGTTCAAGGTTTGTATGGTGTAAACCTGCCAATGATGTTCCAGATTTCATTAAAAAGTAGTGCACATACACATTATTTTGACACTACTTGTCAAAGTGGATAAAAAGATTAACCAAGATTGACAAGCCTGACTCACACTAGCATATAACTGCTGTATGACTTGTTCATTCACAAATCTGAAAAGTACAGAATTCTCAGGAGGTATATGACTCCTTGGCACCCATTGAACCATTGAACTCAATGTAAACAAGGCACCTCTCTATACATGGTGTCCCATAAGTCATTGATCAAAAGAAGTGGGGTGGTTGGGGGGGTCATTTCCAATCAAACTCACCGTATATGTGGTTATCCCATTGTTGATGGTTCAAAAGTTTTTTTTTTCATTTCTATAAAAGGAATTAATAACAATAAAACTATGTCACATTTGTGATTTTTTCTTTCATGAATTTCATCCACATAGATGCACCCCAGAAATGATTTTATGACATGTACTACTTCTTATCAATTACCTGAGAAAAATGTTGTTTCCCTTGAGTTTTGTCATTGAATGAAATATTTAATTAAATTTTCAAATGCCCCTGGCAGATTTAAAAACTATCCCACAAAAATAACCAATCACAAGAAAAAGTTGACCATTCAATACAGATTCCGAAAAGGTATAACATATGAGGTTATTCAAAACAGCCTTTTTTTTCAAATGGGTCGCATTTTTCAAAATAGTTATTTATGTATCAAGGGCGTAAAGTAGGCGTTTATGGCCTGTGGCGTGAATAATGGCCCGATGGCGCTAGCCGAGGGCCATTACACGCTGAAGGCCATCATATACATATCATACAAAGTTCATCAATGATCATAACATTGATATGCATATACAGTGTTGACAAAATCAAGAGGTACTTACCGGTTAATTGATTTGCAATAATAAAATATTCTAACACACACTTTTCACGTACCAACCAAGACAACAGACCAGGGCTACTTGGGTTGATGAGAAGATGATCAAATCCTTTAATTTATATTATTCTAATTATTGTTTTCTTGATCCAAGTGGATTTCTATTTCTTATTTCTTGTTTTACACTATTCAAAGTTTGAGAAAGATGTTGATACTGCTGATGTGTTGTATCTGTGGTGTTGTAGTTGAGTTGAACAGTTGAAATGTTGAAAATGTTGATCAGCTGTTCTGTCTCTGTCCTGTGGTTCTGTGTTCTGTGCTGTGTTCATAAAAGAATGGCCGTGTCTAGAACTACGGTAACGTGGATTTTGTTTTCAGAATCCCTTCACGCGAAATGCATCATGAAAGTATAGGTAGTGACAATGATATTGTAGTGACATTTCGCGTGTATTTTTTCCTCTTGATTAATCCACGCTAATTCAACACGAAGCATCATGCTCTTGTTTCATCCACGATAATTTCGCGTGGCCAATTCCTTTATGATTTGTCCACGCTAATTTCGCGTGAAGAACCATCCTTTGCTTTCATCCACGGTAATTTCTTGCTTAGTGATTAGAGCGTCGCTCTTTATAAATAATAAGGGATCATCCACGCGAGTTTAATTTCTTTCATTTACCTGTACAGGTTTCATTACCTATAATCGATTATAATATCATATAGAGATCTCTATATGATATTAGAATTTTTGAAATAATATAGGTGAAATATTTGGAAGTTACAAGTTCATTTCTAAGTCCTGGCTTAGATTGAAAATTAGACATGTTTTCCCGTTGTTTATACATATCATCGCAACGTCAGATATTGATGACCTTGGCTACCGCGAATTGAAAAATGAAGTGTGGTTCTTCCAGTTTCTTGTTTCATTGCACCATACTGGGGTAAGTGATAGGTACTTACTCTAATCATCTATCTATATTTAATTATACTATACCATTATTTTCACATTTCGAATTCATACAGGGTGATCAAGTTTCAAAGACTAATAATCCAGGATACGAGATGAAATAGAAATCGATGAAATACTATATCATCTCTTCCTATATTGGTCTAAAACAAATATATAATAAATAAGGAAGGGAAAGGATCTACGCACAACGTTTCTGAAAATTCTAAAAATAAGATCCACGCTGGCGTGGTTCTAGACACGGTCTAAAAGAAAAGATGGATCCGTGGCTCTCTGAAGTAAATATTTCTATTTCAGAAAAAAATACAATCTCAAAATTTGAAGATAATTTCACACCAGTAACTAACGACAAACTCCCAGACTCTGAAGAATATTTGGCAATTTTAGGTGTGTAAACAAATTGGCGATCTATTGGAATTTTCTTAGGCCCGAAAAGTTGATTTTTTGTTATTTTTCAGAGGAAAAACTGAAGAAATTGAAAAACGATCCCAATATATTGGCTCAATTGAAAGCAAAGAGAGAATCTTGCATGGAACAATTCATGTCAAATTCAAATCAAATTGATCTTGAACTATTAGATCTACAAGAACCTCTTCCAAACAATCCATTATTGAGAACAGTTGCACCTCAAAGACAGGCCTTGGAACAGAGTGAAATTGTTGAATTAGTGAAATATGATCAATTAAAAAATGAGGAAGCTGATCTGCATGTAAACAAAGACTGTTGATTGGTATACAAAGAAGATTTAATATTCTAGGTGAGTAAACATAAAAAAGAAAATATGTTACCTATATGCAATAGCAAAGGATTGAAAAGCTTCAGACTGAAATCCTTCTGTCTAGTTTAATTCAGTTTTTTGCATAGTGTAAGGAGAGGATATTTCTTTATGGTGGTCTACCAGATCATGTACACACTACTAATTTCTATTGATTCTTGAGATAGGTAACTGTAATGTAATGCAATATAAGGTAATTCAAAGTATAAATGAGTGTGGTAGTGGTAGTTTTTACTCAGTCACCAAGAGTATCCATATTGTAGCCACATATTGAAGAACATGCATAAATGTACCTTCTATTAGGAATCCCTACTATCCCACTTATTTGCAGGAGGAGAAATTTATTTCAGACTAATGAATATGGTTGCATAGGGCATTTACTAATAAACTGTCTCATTCTAATTTTTCATGTATTTCCAATATGGCCCAAAGAATAATTTTATTTATCACCTTGGTGGTCTCATATTGTGGACACAAGGCCAAATGGTGAATTGTAAATTTTTCTTTCAGATAATGAAACATTCTTATTTTGCTCTACTTGTGAAAAACTGTTCCTTTGAATTTCATTCCAAATGAACATTTGTGATTATTTTGGTACCTGAAATAGTAGTAGTATAATTATGTACTCCATTGAGGTTCTTCAGCCCAAAGTGTTCTGAATTGTGTGTTTTGTACTAGCTTTGTTACTAACTCCATATGCCACCTTAGGAGTAGCACTGTTGATAGGAACGCAATATTGAATCCTGCAGGACTATCCCTAGCCAATGCTCCAAAACTCAACAATATTCTTTTCCTGGCTTGAATATTAGAAAAATTACTCACAACCTCGCGGTCATGAGTCGGGCGCTCGTCCACTGCGCCAAACTCGTCTGAAATGAATTACTGAGCATGCATCTTGTGTGATTTAAAAAATGTTTTATTTTCTAATGTCTTCAAACTAAGGACATGTCCTGAGAACAGGTTCTAAAGCCTTCAGCCAAGGTATGAAAATGAAATGATATTCATATACACCTTATCCAATCACATGTTGATGAGTTTATGCAACTTGTTATTGAAATATATCAAGTAAATAAATTCAGGACACAGAGAGTTGATATACAGGTTGTCCCTCCGGGAACTGAATGAATCCATATATGGAAAATTATTACTAGGGCAGATTTGAGAATTTGGTGGCATACTACTGTTAATTTGGGCAATTTGGCTAAAATATTTTCAAGATGAAGGCACTTCCGGTGGAACCAGAAGTGGCATTAACATCTCTAAAAGCACAAATGTATCAGCTATATTGCCAGATTTCTGTATTTTGCTGTGCGTGACACAACTTTGTTTTTTTTAATGCAACACCTAGTTTATTATAATTGCATTTGATTGCTGATGCTTTATTTGATAGAACCTCCAATTGACAGATTTCAATTCTGAATATTTTATAAGATTTGGCAAACCAGCATTTTTGGAAAAAAGAAGGGGCTGAATATTTCTGAAACAATAGATGTAATATTGATGATTTTCCGTACCTAGGGGCTGTTTAACCTGAGAAAATCGAAAATCGTATCGGCGATATTGCCAGATTTCTGTATTTTGCTGTGCGTGACACAACCTTTTTTTTGAATGCAGCAACCAGTTTCTAATTACTGCATTCAATTGCTGATGCTTCATTCGATAAAACTCCAAATTGGCAAATTTCAAATCTGGATGTTTTCTGAGATTTGGCAAACCAGCATTTTTGGAAAATGTCGGCGATGTTGCCAGATTTCGTTATTTTACTGTACGTGGAACAAACTTTTTTTCTTTTCTGAATGTAACACACAGCTCAACATTACTGCATTCAATTACTGATGCTTCATTTGATAGAACTCCAAATTGACAAATTCCATTTCTGGATATCAATCATTCAATCAATTTATTAATCCTTTGGAACTTACAAGAGTTATAGGACAAGTCAACAAAGCATCATACAAAATAAGTATAACACAAAATAATAGTGATAATGATAATAATACGTTCCTAATTAACAGTAATATTGATATTGACAAATAAATCAAATGATCTGACAAACCAGCGTTTTTGGAAATGGTTATGAGAGAATACCCCTGATAATCTTCAAAATGATAGATGTGATTTGAATGGAATTCAGTTCTTGCTGATCTAGCGAAGTCAAAAATAGTGTCAGTGATATTGTCAGATTTATTATGATTTTTTGTATGCGACAGTCCGTTTGTTATGACTGATAATGTAAAAGATAGTCCTAATTGTGAAGTTTTCGAAAGTAGGTTGAAGAAAATATTGATACAAAATTGTTTTTACAACTTGAAAAAATTTGATAACTTTCTTTCCAGTGTTATTTGTGTTTTCCGAGGTGTTTTCATTGTAATTTAATTGTTATTATTCATCTTGTGTAATCAACTGTAACTGATCACTGGTTCCTGTTCAATTATGTGAAACTATTAGTGCTGTACTTCAGCTATTTACTTATACTTGTATAATTGTTTAGGATGCCATTTATGATCTAGTATTCTAGTATTTCTTATTACCTGTTCTGACTCGTCCATTGTATTATTTATAGCTTTGTATTATTTATAATTCAGTATTCTAGTATTTTTTATTACCTGTGTTGACTCGTCCATTCTATTGTATTGATAGTAAGAAGGATTTAATAAAATACAATACAATACAGTACTGCATTCGATTTCTGGTGCTCCATTTACAATAATCCCATATTTATTTACAAGAATATTTTTAGTTTATCAAATACCATTGAAAATCTGTAAGACGTGATGTTTTTGTTCTTCACATGATTAGCTATTTAATTGAATGGATCACCCTGTATTTTTTTCCGTATTGCTGTTCTCCTAATTCACATTGCTTGAAAGTTTGGCGTGTTTGTGATCGGTGGTTGTAGGAATATGTTGAGATGAAATAATAATTGATAAAACATTTCTGATATTCAATTCTATCGTTTCGGAGATGTTTGAGAGTTCCAATCCTTTTTTACAAAAATGCTGGTTTACAATAAAATCTCAGAAAATATCCAGAATTCAAATTGCCGATTTGTGGTTCTGTCGAATGAAGCATCAGTAATCAAATGCACCAACAATAAGCTGTGCGTTAGATTAAAAAAAACAAATTTGTGTACGCACAGCAAAATAAATAAATCTGACAACATCGCCGATACGATGTTTCAATTCCTCAGATCAAACAGCCCCCAGGTACTGAAATTCATTGATATCACATCTATTGTTTCGGAGATATTCAGGAGTGTTTATCCTTTTATTAAAAAAATGCTGGTTTGACGAATCTCAAAAAATATCCAGAATTGAAATTTGTCAATTTGAAGTTTTATCGAATGAAGCATCAGAAATTGAATGCTGTGATAATGAAAGGGGTATTGCATTTCAAAAACAAAGCATAATGAAGAAATCTGACAACATTGCCGATACTATTTCTGACTTCCTCAAAACGAACAGCCCCTTGGTACTGAAACTCTTCGATATAACATCCATTGTTTCAGAGATATCAAGTAGTTCTCATACTTTTTCCAAAAATGCTGGTTTGCCAAATTTTAGAAATCCAATTGGTCCAATTGGTTTGAACAATGTTCTGAAATACCTACTAGCAATACCTTTTCAGGGATGTACATGTACATGTATTTTTTATCCTTTGGAGCAAAAGGTAATCCCTGATTGTTGATAATGGCCGACTTGTCTGTATTTTGCAAACCAAGGCAGATAATACAGTGTGGTGACTTAAGTGGAACAAATTATCACTAGCGGGAAGTCTAATGATTTTTTCAATAATTCCAGAGACGCATCAACGTTTTGATGTATTTATCTGCTTTTTGCAAGTAGTATGGAGAATATATCCTTATTAGGAGGAGCGCGTGCATGTGTCCTTTATTTTTGGTTTGTCTATGGTCCAGACCCTGTATGTAAATATCACATCATGTTTATGAAACTGACATACACTAACTATCCTTCTAATAGATTTTATTTGGAGATAAGTAGTCACTGGATGGTATTAGTTAGATAAGAGTACAGTGTGTCCAGTTTTCGATGCTTTTGCGTGATATCTCAGTTATCTTTCGAGATAGAACCATGCGGTTTTCGCGGTCCTGTACCACTTTTTTGTGAAACTCAAGATGCCCTAATCAGATTTTGCATAACTGTTTGCATGAGATACAGAGCGATTTCGAAAATTTATACTCTTTGGACCCCCTCTATATCTACGAAGTTTCTCAGCGAAAATATCAAATTGGAATCTTATCCCATACAGAATTTTGCTCAGAATCCAGTGGCGCATTCACATTTTTTTTTTCGGGGTATGGTTTTGGAGATACGACTCAAACTTATGATTTTTCAAATGGAACACCCTGTATTTTATAAGCTCATCAGATTCCTTATTCTTTTCCCATCAAAATGGAATATGATGTATAAATATGAAATCTTCAAAAATGCTCCAAAATCACTAAATCATTGAATTTTAATAGTGGGCTATGGATTTTTCATTCAAAAAAGTTCCAATTGAAGGAATACTTCATTCGATTTTTCCATGAAAAAGAGAAAAAACAATCTCAACACTAGTTAACTAAGTAAACACAAAAAGTAGGTACCTGATAGCAACAAATAAATAGTAATAAAAAGTTCATAATCTGGAATAAGCACGTGATTGAATATTCACTAAGACAATTGAATTTCGAAATGAATCAGTAACTTATTCATTGAATTGTTCAAATTGATGTCCATTTTCCTCACACAGTCCAGTCATTATATCCAAATAACGGACCTTACCCGTGAATAATTTTTTAGTGGTTTTTATTTTCATAGGTGTCTCGGGGGGGTCACTGGGAGTGTAAATTCAAAATGGCGACCAAATCAAGCTTTTGCGTATGTAAAAAACGGTTTTTCTTGAATAACTCGGCCATTTTTGATTCTACAGAAAAAGTTTGGGGACAAAAA